ATGATCAAATGCGATGGGGGAGTAAATATCCCATGTTAGATAAATTTCTATCATACTTGTTATGCTCCTACTTTCCATTAAGAAAGAACGCACAGAAATGATTGCTTTTTATTGGAAATTTTATAAAGTAATGTTATGCACATTAAGTAAGATAAAACATTTATTAGTCCTGATTTGAAGTACTCAATGTAAAGTCAAGTATTGATGTTTTATATTATTTCAAAATTTGATTTTCTTTTTATCTAATCGTTCATTGGTCAAGTGGCCTTAGTTTAAACCCCAAGACAATAAAAGAATAATTTGAAGGAATAACTTTATTCATCATTATATATAAAATTTACTGAATCATGGATATTGTACTTTTGAGACAAAAAGATAATATTTTTTTTATTTAGATTATTTACTGACTAGTATGACAAACAAGATAGCTAGTTTTTCCGCCGTCAATTTTCCCTACTTGTATGGTAATGTTCCATTATCACCTGTATATGGTGCTTATGTCTTCCATCTTGTTAGATAAGCAAGACCATGTTCTGAGTACGATAAATTTTTAAACCGAGGCAGTACTGACAAAAAATTTGTTTAAATTCAGCATATCGAAAATGCTATGGTCGTTTATAAAGACCTTGTTTGTAAATACAACCTATCATTGGGTCGTATTTTGACTAAATATAGAAGTTCCAGTGGCCCGTGTTTTATGCCCAGTTCACATTTGTATTGTTCACAGATTTTTTTTAGATCGATCACTGTTATTTTTTTTCTTTTTTTTAATTCTTTAAATACACATTCATCGTAATTTATTGTACCAAATCTTTATTATGATAGAATGCATGTAAACAATTTAAAAATTCATGATGAGGTTGATTCTAAAGAAATAGATCTCAGCTTCTTTTCACATCAATTGGTAAATCATGAAGTTGCAGGTGTTGATCGTTATTTATATTGGAAATTGAATAATATTGGATCCAAGTTCATTGATTTTGTTGTTCTGAAAATGATACATAAGATTTTCTTTAAAATCAATTAATAGAAAAACGTTTCCCTTTAATTAATTTGATACAAAATAACGGGAAGATAACAGGAATTTGAACACAGGAAAACGTCAACGACATCATTATGATTCATTTGAACATGGTTTATTGGACTTTCAAAATATTTTAAACTTTGTCTTGTTTATAGCTAAAAGCAATTTAAAATAGACAATTTTCCTTAAAATATTTTCTCATTTAACAGAAGACTCTACTAAACATTTTTGTATTTTCACGCTGTATGTCATTTTGATGTAAGGGAGGTATTTCTTTGTTTTCAACTATTTCAAAAAAGAACAAAACAAGTTCTTCATATGTTTATTCAGCAGTAGTTTGCACGCAATTTTTTTTTCCACGTCTATCATCAAAATTCGTCAAAGCACCATATCCACTTGACCTTATCTAATGCTTGTCAAATTCTAAATAAAGTATCTACCATCTCTACGAATAGGATCTTTTGAAATTTTGAAACCTAAAATATGACCATGATATCTGGAACTAATAAATATTGATGACTCGTCATTATTAGACATCTTGGGTATATTACTAATTCATCCATTAACATGGTTTGTATTGTTTAATTGGACTTTGAGCTTGAATACTGTTCGTTATCACCATATTTCATGTATTATTTGCAATATGAATGATGTGTTTTAATTACAGAAGCCAATAAATTAAGAACATAGAAGAATATATAGGGAAAAGAGTACCAATTATTTTAATTATTTTCCATAGAACTCTTTACAAATCTTTTGCCCTCCTAGTACTCAACTAATTTAATTTCAGACAAGTCCTGGGCATCTTTTGAAACTTTAATCTAAGCGTTTATAAAAAAAAAAATAAATAAAAAAAGCCCGGAAAAAATATAGGGTACCATGGCGTTTATAGGTCAAAATTGCAGCTGTTTACAACTCATAGCGATCTACAGTAAATAACACTCTGAAAAAATATCAACCCCCACTCCTACAATTTCCCCTGGTATTTCTTTTCTTCTGTAATATTCCTACATTCCATCATTTATTTCAAGCATTAATATTTTTACTTTAATATGAAAAAAAATCACATACCTGAATTCAGCCAATCAGGTAACGCACACTATTCAGTATTCTATACTAATTTGTGTAACAAACAAAGCCATTTGTACATCCGGGGATTTGGTACTCTCATTCCATGAGGTTTAAAGAACCATTCTCTGTAATAACTTGAAATTTTTGAAGATCTTTGGGACGCATCGTCTCAGATTTTCTCAAATCTCTCTATGATAAAAATTACTGATACAGTAAACTCACATCAGACAAAAATTAATTGCTATGCATAATGGTTACCATGACAACATACCCTAAATTTTTAACAATCGCAATTTTAACATGTTGAGAGTCCTATTACAATAACGTTTGCAGATGATAAAAAAGTGACAATGACTCATTCCAAAGTTTGAGACTTGATGTCTTATTTGCATGTTGATAAAAAGCTCTACATACTTGTGTTATGCTGTTATAAATAAAATTTTCTGCTTCTGATTCCCATGATAAAAATACTTGGGAAATTTACTATTGCATACGTTACCATGGAAACAAAATATTGACAACTTCGTTTCCAACAGGAGACCTTCTTATTATTCTGTTTCTTTTTCATTATAATCATTAGTTTTCCTTATTCTATTTTTCTTTCCGATTTTGGCAGAGGATTGCTAAAAAAAACTCCACAATGGAATATCATGAAATTTTCAAAATTGATGGATAATAGCCTGAACTTCATGTGTCTTTTTATTTTACTTCACTCCGGTCGCGAGTTACGTTCAATTTACTGAATTTAAAATATTTTGTCCGTGCGTTTCCTCAGAAAGAACTAAAGATTGGGTCGTGAATCTTTAAGGGATGGTAGATCTTGACTAGTAAATGTGACAGCCGGGTTTCCTTCTTGGCCGTCTTTCTTTGACAGTTGGAAGTATTTTTAAAACAAAAATTTTCTTCTTTTTTTCTAACGAATATACCAGTAGATGTTCATGTAAGAGTTTTTAAGAGTGTCCCAATATATAAATGGTGCCTGATTTGGAGGGTAACAGTTGAAATTGACACCCGAAGTTGATGAAACAAGAATATCAGCAGACTCGTTTGGAGTCATCATTTCGTAAATTCTATGGTCGATACAGTGGCCTTGTCGGTAAATGCAATTTATCTTTGGGTTAGGTGCCGGCTGATGTTTTTCGTGCTGGTTGTTGGGCCATTATTTGCACGGATTTTTCTGTTATTTCCCGATCGTGGCAAGGAGCACACGGCGGGTGTGACCGGTCGGCAGGGGATGCTCACTCCTCCATGGCACCTGATCCCACCTCTGATGTTTTGGAGGTCCGTGTTGCTCTGCTCCTATTTTGTATTGTTTAAAGGACTTTTGTGCTTGAATACTGTTCGTTATTTCCATATATTTCACCCCAAGGAAAACCATTGTCAACCGACGCGTCAGCGGAGGTTGACAATGGTTTTCCGAGGGGTGTCAATTTCAACTGTTACCCCCCCCCCCCCCCCAAAAAAAAAAAAAAACAAACAAACAAACAAACAGACACCATTTATTTAATTATACTGAATGTCTTATTGAGGATGTCAGCAAAAAAAATCGTTGATCGTCTTTACGTTCACGTTTAGAAAGCTCTCAACCTCCCCGTTTCTATTTTTCTCAGTAAGAAAGCTTCGAAAAACATTTACCGACCTCTTTATTGTTTCAAACAGTCCTTTATCATCTAAAGTTTCGTTATTTCTGCACTTGCAAGCATGTTTCGTCTGTCTTTTGTTTTTGTTTTTTTTTTCAAGTAAGCTCCATCGAATGCAAGTTTTTATTGACGTCTAGTTATTCCGCTTCTCTTAAACGCAAAACGGACGTTTTGAAAATTCTACGGTGAACCATGCGCGCATGAATTGCACGCATGTAACATTTTCGTTGTGTTACCCGTTGTCAAGTGTGTCGCTAATGCTGAGGGTAACATTTAAGGAGTGTTTTTAAGTTTTGTGTGAATTATTGGTGTGTAAATCACATAGACTTGTCACGTAGGGATATTTCATGAAGCGCTAGCTCTTCATGAAAAATATTCCTACGCGTAAGTCTGTTTGAATGCTTGAATTTCTCCTACCCTATATCGTCATATTTTTAATAACGTCTCTGTAGCGTCATTGGGATGTCATCTTAAGCGCGAGTTTCTTCGTGTATATTTCTACGCGTGAGTATACACAAAAATGGTTTTCAAATTAATTTCACAGTTATCTTAGTAGAAAAACACAGCAAATGTAAATATTACGGATTGTTAACTGCGTCTAAGCCAATCAGATTTTAGTATTTAACATGAAAGTATAATAAATCATATTATTGCACCGGAAGTATGGTTCGTCCCAGCTGGAAGTAATCTAAAATTGAGTATTAAATTTACAGGAATGATTCCCTTTGCTCAAAATGCAATTTGCATATTTTTGCATTTCCGATCAAAGCCGGAGGTAGCTCTAAAAGAACCGAAAGTAACTTTGAAATTTACAGATCTCAACTCTTATCTGCTTCAAAATATATTTTGAAGACTTAGGTTTTTTCTTGGTATATAATCGTTTCTCTACCAATCACAGATCAGACAATTGCAAAATCCAATAGTGATAATACTTTCAGAAATTGGACGGAAAACCTACTGGATGCACACAGAGAGAACGCACCTACTTCTTTTATTCATGTTGAATATCTTTCATTCGGAAAGAAGGGGGATGATAAGTTGAATTACAAGTAATAGAGGAAGATCCATTAACTTCTGTCCTTTCGTCGTGTGGGTTTTTTTTAAGTTTTGAATTCAAATTAAGCATACTCTTGCAAATCTGCAATGGAAGAAAAATAATATCATCAAGTTTTATGTACATTTTAGATATTCATTTATGTTTTTAAGTGTTTGGTTTCAAGAAAACGATTCCTAAAATGTTAATTCATTTACGCTCTTCTCAGGATAAAACGTGTTTCTGTACAACTTTGCTGCGGTTGTCAACAAAGAAAAGGTAGGTAAATAGTTTCAACCAATATTTGTATAGTCAAAAATAAAATGAATTTTATTTCAAGTATGCCAATTAATTCAAAAGAAATATTACTGACACATATTTCACAAAGCTGGAGTTTACTTGCTATTTTGGGGGGGGGGGGGGGGGGGGGGTAACATCGAGGACGAGGACAAATTAAATATTCAATATATTCGAAACGGCCTAAACGATTGAATATTCTTTTTTTTTTTTTTTTTTTGCCTTATCAATTTTAAGACAAAACAAACTTAGTTTCGTGAAAAAATACTCTAAAACAGTAATGAACTGCAAATTATGATGAACAGTAGTTTATTAATAGCGTCTTAATTCCTTTTTCTTTAAATCAGCAGGGTTCTCATCGCACCTCATCTCATCAATAATTTAAATCTTAAAGCTGAACACGCTTCTTAAAAGAATCTGTCCGCCATATTCGAATGGACTCTCGCTATATCTGAGGGCCCCTATATATAGAGCCACTCACTTGGTCACTGTTCAGTGTAATCAATTGTCACCGGTGTAGACGGACGTATGCTACATGTATACAGCACTTGGTAGCGACAAAAATAACTGTATGCTTCTTCTAACGCAGGCGAGTAAGATACCAAAGAGATTTACAATAGTTGTACACGTCGGTGCAGTATACAAACAAACACAAATATACGTAACTGCAATAAAATGTAAACAAAAGTAATGCAAGATAAACAGCACGAACACGGGTGCCATTCCACGCCGATACTCGTGACAATAAAGCAGTCGGGTGTAACGAATGCGAAGAGTATACCCTGGTGCTGATAACTTAGAGAGTAATATCGAAAATGACGTATGCCTATATACCAGTCTTGTTCAGCTTTAAGCGCCACAGTCAAAAAATCGGCTCAATAGTTCCGCCACAGTTAAAATATAATCGCCACAGTAAGATTCGTCGTCAGTACGATAAATAAATAATTTTTATAAATCAAATGAACCTCCCAATTGTGAACCGTTTTTCAGTTTCTAATGCTTAACTGTAATTTTACTCTAATTAGTGCGACTGATATACAATGAAAGCGAGTGTTGTAAGATAATGCGATAGGATCGCGCGAGTGATCAGGTGATCGGACGATTGAACGTGTGCCAATGCGATTGGACGTACGGCGCTCGTGCGATCATGCTTTCCATGGTACGAATGCTCGTTCGAGTGCATTTAGGCAACATCCATCAGCCACGCAATTCTAAATTTAGAGTACCAGACACAGTGCTGTGATTTTTCTTATTTCTTCTAATATTTTTAGTCGCCCGCGTGGCGCAGTGGTCAGAGCGTCTGCTCTAGAGTCGCGAAGTAAGGAGTTGATCCTTACGTCGCGGGTTCGAATCCCACTATGGGACTTGGAGACCGGTCCTTCAGATGAGACGTAATAAACCGAGGTCCCGTGTCGCAGTAGGTGCTGGCACGAAAAAGATCCCTCACTGCTCAATGGCCGTAAGTGCCGAGTATAGGACAAAATTTGCAGCTCTCCACCGGCAAGTGGTGGCGAGACGCATGTGAGTGAAAAATTCTCGAGAGGGACGTTAAACAGCATACAATCAATAAATCTATCTAATATTTTATCGTTTAGAATGTGCGTAATTAATTATTGACTGTATTATTATGACAGCAAAGTGTTTCGGCGGTTTGATATCGTTATATATATATATATATATATATATATATATATATATATATATATATATATATATATATATATATATATATATATATATATATATATATATATATATATATATATATCGATTTTTAAACGGAATATCACTGTTACCTGGAGTTTTTCACGTTATGTAAAAACCAATGCCATAATGAATTAAAACTAGGGATGCCAATTTGTAATCAGTTAACCGATTACTCGTTGGGAACAATAGTAATCGATTAGAAAATTTGAATCGGTTAGTCGGAAAAATAAGTGTTAATTTGAATACACTATCCTGAAAATTCAATTCAAAAATACAAATAAAAATCTCCAAATGTTAACAATTTCACCTAATCTATTTAAGCTGATTTGGAGATAATTTAGGCTCTCCGGATTGACATCGTGGTCAGTTTTCGAGATTTTGATTGTTGTTTAAACAAGTTGTGGTTACCCAACCTGTCCTCTTTTTCTTTAATGGTTTTAATTAGATGATCTTTGAGTACCGTGAACTGAATGTAATAAGCTCCCTACCTCTTCTATTCTTTGCGATTACCTATCAAATTGTATCCTAAAACAAACGTGGTAAATTACGGTAAATGGTTTGCAATGCAGAGTTAATTTCCATGACATCTCTTCTGATTTTTAGCTCTACTGGTCAGAGATCAGAAGAGCTTATGAAATAGAAAGGTATCCGTCATCCATCCGTTTAGCCGTCTGTCTGTCCGTTTGAAAAAAATTCGAATTGCTACTCCTCCTAAAATTTAGGTTTGATTTCACTATAACTTAATTGGCACACAAGTAGACTACACTAAGATACATAATTTTTTTATTGTTGTCGCAAAATTTCAAATCCAAGTGCTACTTTTCTCTTCCTATGTTATAAGCACAAACCAGTTGAGCTAGTCTCATCAGAGACTTCTGGTTTATAATGTATCTAATACTTCAGGCATGTTTCATGGGTTTCTAAAATTACTCCTTATTAAATTTGAAATAATAAATATATATTGTTTTTATCAAATATAAACTTTATATTTGAGTAGAGCTTTCAATGATGATATATGTCGAGAATTTTTAATACGATAAACCGATTAATCGGTCAGAACGTCTTGCGGTTAACCGATTGGCAATCTGTAATTGATTGCCATCCCTAGTTAAAACTAAGTGAAATTTGTTCTTTTAATTATATTCAAGTTACCTTTTGTCTATGTTTGGAATGAACTTTTTGACATTAATATATGAATATGTTTTCACTAATAGTGCAAGGATCATTTTGATGATGGCTGAGGATGACAGAAGAGAGGAACTTCATAGAAAGATTATAGAACAAGCCAAAAAGAATAAAAAGTCACCACTGACTATAGCTGTAATTGGGCCACCTGGAGTTGGAAAATCTTCTTTTATCAATACCATAATTACCTGTATAACTGGAGAATACAGACAGTGGGTGAAGACTGGACTTGGCGAAGGAGCAATAACACTGCGTGCAATTTGGTAGGTTATTTCAAAGGAATGATCAGTTTATCAAACAGAACTAATTTGAAAGTCTTGTTTATAATATCATGTGATGTACAGTTCATTATCATCCAAAGTCGCAATTGCAAACAAAAAGAAAAAAATCGAAATAACAAAATTAATAAACACCATGAATACGTGTCGCTTACAATAAAAGTGTTCATCAACCCATCATTTGTCAAAGGTATATTTTATTATGTAACTTTGAGGAACCAGGATTTAATTCTACGGATGGAAATCCAACTTACACCCATACCTCCCTTCCCAAGGAGGAAATTCTTCAAAATCATATGTCCGTTTTGGATACTTTCAATATTCCTAACAATCAAAATGAATTACCATACCTTTACTGGATTCCTAAACTTCATAAAAATCCATACAAACAAAGATACATGTACATAGCGGGTTCCAGTATATGTTCTGCCAAGCCACTTTCTTTACTCCTTGCTAAAATATTTACTGTAATGAAGGAAAAACTTTAGGAGCACTGTATAACAGTATATTCGAGAAGTGGTGTAAATCAGATATGGATACTTTAAAACTCCAAAGAACTTTTGGAAAATTTGAAATCACAAAATTTTACTTAAAATCAATAGCATCAAAACGTACGAATTTTCAACACTTTATACAACCATTCCCCACGATAAACTGAAGTGCTTGCTTTTTGTCATCATAGACAGCTGCTTTTTCAATAAAAATGAAACTCGTAAATATACTTACCTTGTCATTGGTCATTTACAGAATTATTTTTTTAAAAAAGCACTCTGATTCTACACACAAGTACACTGAAGTTAATATTAAACAGATGTTTGAGTTTCTGATTGACAATATCTATGTAGTTTTTGGAGTTCAGGTCTTCCAACAATCTATTGGAATTCCCATGGGAACCAATTGCCCCCCCCCCTTATTAGCAGACCTATTTTGTATTCATATGAAGCAGAATTTATTCAAAAACTTGTACATGAGAAGAAGAAAACATTAGCTGTGGCTTTCAACTCGACATTTTGATATATCGACGACGCATTATCAATTAACAATAGTGTACTTTCATTCATATGTCGATACGATATATCCCAGTGAGCTTGAAATAAAAGATACCACAGATTCTGACACATCTGTTTCATATTTAGAAATTTTACCAGAAAAAGACGTTAATGGTAAACTAACAACAAAGCTTTATGATAAACGTGATGACTTCAACTTTTCAGTCGTCAAGTTCCCTTACTTATGTAGCAATATACCCTTATCACCTGCATATAGGGTTTATGTATCTCAGTTGATTCGATACACAAGAGCAAGCTCTACGTATGAAGAATTTCTAAAACGAGGCAATCTATTGACAAACAAGTTCATGAAACAAGGACATCAACAGTCTCGTTTGAAGTCATCTTTTCGCAAGTTTTTCGGTCGATACAATGACCTTGTTAGCACATACAACCTATCACTGAGTCAAATGCTGACTGACGTTTTCCACACTAATTGTTAGGCCATTATTTATACACTGAACTGTCTACGGATTTCTCCGTTATTACCCGATCATGACAAGGAGCACACGGCAGGTGTGACCGGTCGGCAGGCGATGCTCACTCCTCCATGGCACCTGATCCCACCTCTAAATTTTGAGGTCCGTGTTTGAAGATATTCTTGAGGTATAACCAGCTGATTATCACTGGCAGTTTGTCTCGATACAAGAGGGAAGGGAATTCGAGGTGTGTTTCATAATCCGAAAACATTACAAAGTATTTAGATCAATTTGATTGTAGGTATTTCTTAACTTAAGATCAATCTGGTAGCTCATATTTTCATGTAGGGTACTTCAGAAGAGGTACATGGAATTTGCAGACGAAAACCTCCAGCAATATGTTTTTCCGGATATATTAGACGTAGTGGGCTTTGAAGACTCTGATGATGACGTGACACGGAAGGCAACTGAGTTGTTATTCTATGTGAGAATTCCCTCCGATATCCTTGTTCATGAGGTTTTAAAGAAAATGAGGTAATTTTCTAGAAACTGAGAAGTAACATAACTGTATAACGTTTCTTACAGATATGTGTATCTTGATGCATTCCTATATATATATATATATATATATTGATAATTTCTACATATTGAAGAACCAGTGGAACATGGCCCGTGGAGAAAATGTACCCATTAACAGCGGAATGTAAAAAAATCGACAGGGTTATTTTTGTTGCTTCTGCAGCAAACTCAAATTTACCACTGGGGCTTTGTAACGCTGTAAGGACTGTAATTTCGAAAAAAAAAAGAGGTAATATATATATTTTCTAATTGTGTAGACTTACATATATATTGAATCGTTTTGGCCATTATTTCAATTTTATATCATAATAGTGAATGTTGGTGTTTTGATATCCACTTTTTTTTCTTTTTTTTTCAATTCTGTATTTTTCCATTTGTAAATGCAAAGGAAAAAAAAATACCAAATGACTATTCTTTTATTGCTTCTTTTTGTTTTTGTTGTTTTCCTTATCACATTACACTAAGGCAAACTCACTCTTCCATTAAATAGATTTTATCAACTTATTGTTCGGATGAGAGATTCGATACCTGCATTTTTCCGTATGTTTTGTTGAGATAAACATGAAAGATCATGAAAAAATTACAGTGAGGGGTAGTGTCGCACAAAACTACCTTCAATACTCAGAAGCTGAATTTTTGAAGAGAAAGGTTTAACTTTTGTAATCAAAAGACATACTGCGGAATCACGTCCCGTTAGAGAATTTTTCGCTCATATAGAGACGTCACCATATACCGGTGACGGGCTTCAGACCTTTACTCGGCACTCAGAGCCATTGAGCAGTGAGGGTTCTTTATCTTGGCCTCGGTTTTAAGGTCTCATCCGAAAGACCTGCAACTTTCACTTAAAAGTGCCGAGCGCTTGGCGAAGGAACAGTTGCTACCTATTTTTTTTTTTTTATCGAATTAGGTCAGTTACGGTCGTGATTCGAACAAACGACCTTCCGATCACGGAGCAAGCGCTCTACCGACTGAGCTGTTGTGATGGTCTTCTGTAAAAACAAGTTATCCTCCAAGTAACGTCCCCAGGAACCAACAGAATTTTGCTTATCTACAAACATTGACCCCCACGAATTAAGAAGATTCCACAGTATGCCGACACTGATTAATTTTCTTAAATTTTAGATATTCCTATTTTCGGTGTGTTGACGGGAAGGGATAAAAGATCAACAGCTATAGAAGACTTTGAAAAGTTTGAGGATAGATTTAAATCAGCTCTTGGCATCTCTGATTTGAACTTTCTGCATTGCACAAATTACTGTGGCGATAAAATAAACAGCATACGTGTTATGGCAGCAAAGAATTGCCCAGATGTAGACGTCCCCGTGCTGGAGTTTTTGAATCAAGTATTTATTTAATTTAAGAATTCTTAAGACATGGATATTCATATATGAATTTAACAAAAAAACATAGTTTTAATTAAACGTGAAAGATTTCTTTAGTTGGTGTTTAGCATTTTAAATAAATCTGTCAAGAACTAACAGGACAATGAGACATTTAAGGTTCTTAAAAATTTTATATTAATAGAAAGATAGTTTGCTTGATGGTTAATTTAACTGCATAGCGATATTACGATTAAACAAAACATCAAGTACACTGAACAGATAATTTCGTCCTTGAGATTAATTTTTTTGCATCCATACCCCCTCCCATGATTTTCTCAAGATATACAATAATTATGCTCATTTATCTACCTTTTAATGGAAAAAAAATATAAGTAGTTAAAATCAACATGAGTACCAACATCCATTTTAATCGGTGTGTCAATATTTACAATTCATGTAAATAAAAAACACACACGAACACAACAAGTATTTCTAAAAAGAAAGGATTGACAAGTGTGTATCTCTTTTCTAAAATATTGTAAGACTTCGCATAGAAAAATGAATTGTATTGTTTAAAGATTTTTTGAGATCGATCACTTTTTGTTATTTTCACCTTTTTCATATTGAACACTCTGCAAACAACTGCAGTAACCGCGAAGGGACAAAAACATCAAATTTAAAAAAAAAATGAGAATTTGCGAAAAACTAATAAACTCATTGAATACTATTAACAGGTTTTGGATCCAGCTTTGGAGAGCACAGATATCGCCAGATCTGTTCCATTTACACGGGCGTGGTTCTGGGAATGCTTATACATAATGCCTACAAAGTTTGAGGGCATTAGCACGAGTCACTGGATTCTTGTCACGATAGTGATTGCACTCCTTGTTGTTATTTTGGCCATCCTGTTAAGCGGAAAATAATCAACAGCATGGCACTTTGTGGATAAAGTTAAAGGGACTGTCATTTTGAAATGATGGACAATGGATCACCCATGGAAATGTTCTTTGGATATTTATATATTCAAAAAAGGACAAGAACTTTTATATAAATACTGCATGTAGTTAGGTGTAACATTGAAAATTTTCACCCTAAGAAAACTATTGTCAACCGAGGCACACGTTGACAATGGTTTTCGAGGGGTGAAAATTTACAATATTACACTCAACTACGTGCAATATATATTATATTATACTGAATGTTTATACAAATATTTATTACAGTGAAACTTGCGCGCATGAATTCTGCGCAGTCAATATTTTTTTTGGAATATCACCCGTCGTCAAGCAATGTTAACTGTTGCTACGTTGGAGGGCATGGCTTCATTATTCAGTAGGTAATAGTGTTCTCAACAAATGTTTCTCGACGAATCAGATTCAACTTATTTACTTGAAAGTATATTATACACTGTTTACGATCTACTCATGTATTTTCATATTGTAATAAATATGTGTATAATTTATGCATACGAATTATTTATTTTTATTCACAAGATTAAACATATTTTTGTCCCTGTATGGTGCTGTTGGTACTGACTACATGATTTAATATTCATGCCACTGTATGAAATTTTTATCAGCATCTCCATTTCTATTAAGAATACACTGAATTTCAAAACAAATAACATGCATTATTTATAACAAACTTTTTCCTTTACTTTTCCTTGTTAGCAAAGAACTACGCAGCCTAACTAGATTCTAGCCAACAATTAACGCACATTATTCATTATTCAATATGTTTCGAAATTTATTATAAAAGTTTTTTTTTTCCTAAGGCAAAGTCGAGTTTGTTTATAACAGAGTATTAGTTCTAACACAAGTGTCAATTTAATCATTACATCAAACAGGTTGGGCACAGTTTCTTTTTTTCAATAACTGTTACGCTAAAAGGGAATTGTTCCTCTTTTCAGTATTAAAAAACATTACTGTATACGGGAATTTTAGTCATTTTTTAAAAATAATGTGCCAAATCCGTGCATTAAATAAAACTTGCATGAAAATACGATGTGATGTGTTTAAACTTTATTAAACCAACCTCATTAAACCAACCTCGATGAAAAAAAAATCGGTCCTTTAGTGCTACAGACGGAAGTGAGATGAGGTATAATCGTACGACGTCATGAGTATTCTTCCAACGGATGTGAATATTTCCCTTGTAAGTATATTATTACTAGTTCAAAAACGGAAAATATCATAGCTTGGTTTCGTTGAGGTGACATCTTTTGAACATGCATAGGAATTTAAACTCGCGTTTAGCAGTAATCCACGACTTCTACTTAAATTATCCCTGTTGATAAATGATACAAAACGTATGGAATCTTACAAAGGCATTCATTCTCAAACAGTCTTTGAATGACTATCTATTAAAATATAATATTTCATCCAATTATTTTCATCTGTAAAAGAAGCAGTGGTATTAAAAATTATTTTTAGGATGTCTTTGAAGGAAATGATAATAAAATGTAATTAGAACAAATAATATTGTGTACGAGTTAGCAATTGCTGAACGTATTCAATCTCTCAATCTCACAATTTTAACACAGATCATCCTCACAATGTCAAGGTTTTGTGATTTCGGAACTCCACACAAACCCTTAACATAAGTCGTTATTTAAAAATCGGCCTTGTGGTTACACATGACGTAATGGGTATTTATAAACTAACCAATGAGAATATATTTTTCAAATCCATCCGTTAAGAAATCTATATCGTAGAAATATTTTAGCACTCTTTTTCAGCTTTTTGCAGCGATAAATATTGTAGTTTTAATAAACTATAAATATTTAGAGGATGTGAAAATATTCTTGCACTTAATCTTTTATTCAAAACAAACACGAGAAAAGAGGGTAAACGGGTGAAAATTCCCGTATACAGTAATGTTTTTTAATACTGAAAAGAGGAACAATTCCCTTTTAGCGTAACAGTTACTGAAAAAAGGAACTGTGCCCAACCTATTTAATGGCAACTCTTTTTGATAAAGGGGAACTCGTATAAAGTTGTGGCCATTAATGAAACTAGACTTTAACACTTCACAATGTTTAAAAACGCAATTGGAAATGGAAAAATAACCATTTAATCTTTACTTCTTTAAAAATTAAACAAATCAGATTTATACAGAATAATTTAATAGTTTTAATTTAAATAATCTCATTTGTAGTTGGCCATAAATTAAATGATACATTTTGTCTGCATTTTACCCGTACATGTTAACATATGTCCCACCAATGAAACAAGTAAAGCTTTGAAATGAATTTGCAAAATAATAATATGTAATATCTGGAAAAATGACTTTTATTGTTTCATGATGGGAGGAGAATGCAAGAGCGAATTGGGTTAAACTTTTGAAATTTGACCTGGAGGTATAAAAAAAACTAGAAGTCCTTTATCATTGTTATTTCTCCAACTCTTCTTATTTATAACTGAATAAAATTAAACACAAGAGCCTGACATAAGTTTGCTCTGCTGAAAACTGTGAAAGCAAAAGCTTGAGAGATACAGTATAAGGATTACACCAGGTAATACAGTGGGGAGTTTTGTAAAAATTCCTAACATTTATATTTTCAATTTAACTGACTTATCAAAACCAACCATTGATACCACGTTTTAAAAAATAATCTCTTTTCTTTCCTTCTTTTTTTTAAGTTTTCATTTTCAACATTTGGTCAGAATATACGAGGAAATGGCACGTCTCTAAAGTTGTTTATAATATCCTTTTTATAAGGGCGAAAATAATTTTTATTTCGATCCTTGCGGTTAAATATTGACTTTTATAGCTGATATTATAAAACGAAAGTTTAACAGTATTTTTCAAACATAATTATCAAGGATCATGATGTTTTTGGGAGACTTTTAGTCATAAACTTCACTCCCACAAAATTTATTCAAGAGAGCCATCGTTTGTTACTTATTTTATAGGTGACCTTAAGGGCTTTTCCAATTTTGCTTTATTTTGGACACTTCTTGTAAGGACGATGCAGAGGGGCATGCTGAATAGAAAAGAAAACTTACCGATTTCAATTTTATTACGGAGTGCATTATTTCTACTGTTTGTACTTATTATAGTACCTCATGTTAAAACACAGTTGTTTTCGTTTTGGCCATTCAAACAATCTGATCCAAGTATTATTAGTGAAAGTGAAGGAGACGACAAAGAATTGAAAGAGCCTTGTGAATGCATGGCCGTAGGAACCGGGGGGGGGGGGCACGGGGGGGCCATGCCCCCCCCCCCCCAATAATTTTGCCGATATATAGATTACTATAGTAAACATAGATACTATAAGCATGTGCCCCCTCAATAAAACCGCCTGATGACCTTTTTTTTTTTTTATTTTGCTTGTCAAGGAATATTTGGTAGTTGACGACCTTTTTTTTTTTTTGCTTGTCAGAAAATTTTGGTAGTGCCCCCTCAACTGTCAACTGAAAAATGTTTGGCTGTGCCCCCCCAAACTGAAATTGCTTCCTACGGGCCTGGAATGGAAAAACTCGGATATAGAAAAGATAAATTTGGCTGTCTCAAAACTGCAAGGTCAAAATGCCACTTCGATGAATTATATTATAAATAACACGATTGCTATGGAGGAAATGAAGAAAAAATTAACATTATTAGGAGAGAATTTGCTAAATGTAAAGAAAGCATGGAATCTTTGAATTTTAGTATACAGACCAAATTTGACAAAAATGAACATCAATTAAGTAAATTGAGAGAAAGAATAGAAAAACTCTCCGATGACAGCTTTCATCTTTTTCAAACGATGACAGAAATTAGTAAGAGACTGGAGGAGCATGGAGAGACAGGTATACGTCTGGAAAAGAGAAGCAAAGACAACATTGATCAAATCAAAAAGGTAGAGGTCACCACTTACTGGGGTAAACAGACAATATGTTAATTGTTTCGGATACTTTATTTTTGGCTATGAAGATTTTTTTAAATATTCAGACAATGTAAATCTTTGTTTCAAATGAATTAATTATTTTAAATCACAAGAAAGTTGGGGCTATCGTTCGTCCTTATAAATACTGATTATTTAGTGATTTTGGAATTTCGTAGTTTTATTTTTTTTTTTTAAATTGTCTCTTGCAAACGTTTTGTTGAATAATTCTATTGAATAATGTGAAAAGAAGATGTTTTCTTTGATTTGTACATTTCTTTCATTTTTTTATTTTTATCTTTTAACCTATTTTAGTGGATATTTTACTTGTATTCATCATTCTCATTCTTTTGGTCTACATCACCAATATGACCCAGGTATGTAGCTGTGTTTTCTTTTCAAAGAAATATCTATACTCTAATACATAATCTTTTTAACTATTATATTATTCTGCACTAAAGAAATGCTGATATTTGTTTGGACTTTTGGAATATTTTTAGAGGAACAGAGGAGCTGGATTCAAACACCACAAAAACTCTCAGTTAGAGAAAAGTCGTTTGCTTTAACCCGTCTTCTTCGGAAGCTGACAGGAAGTTGGCTGACGCATTTCTGGATGATTATAGTGTCGTAATAATTTATGATTATCAAGACATACCGAGAATACACTCCAAGGTAAAATCAATATATATGCTATATGATGTATAGCACATATATTGTATAATATTTGAGATTGAATGCAATATCACAACTCATTTAGGTTGTTTTCCTCTTTGTGGATTTCAACGAACGTAATATCATCCTTGAGACATATACAGAAACTCAGCAAATTAAAGCAGAAACTGTGGCAGCCATTAAGAAACTTGGAGGTAAGGAAAGGGAAATAAGCAAATTCATTTTAGTGATACATATTCTAATTATTTTTTTTTTACGCATTCCATTTTTACATAGTAAGCTTTAGTACATACAGTTTTGAGAAAAAAATAAGTAAAACTGTAAGGAATATTACACCAACGATATTGTTCTTTAGTGTATCAGTATGTTCTTTCATACACTTGATATCTTTATTAGGTACACCAGTTGTGATTTACAGGCTTCATTCAGACTCCAGAAGTTTAGGGAGCCGTCAGCTTTATTCGGACAAACTAGCCTCAATAGAAAACCATCCTATTTTGAGAGAGCTTGTGGAAAAAGAATGTGTTCTTAGTATTGACAAAGAATTTACGGAATATCAACGAAAGCATCTCAAAAAACTGTATGAAAATAATCTGTAATATTTTGCAACACATCGATGCTTCAACAGTTAAACACACAAATGACAAAATACGCACAGTATATACGAAATTGAACGATCATTAATTTAGATATCATTGTTATACCATGATATTTTGATATATTCTATCGTTTTTATGAGTGAAATGCAATCCTCTGTTTTATATCATTATAATCTTTATGACGTTTTAGTTGATTTGGAGAATACTATAATGATATTATTGTACCTCACAGGTCAACAATGCCTTTTGTCAGCTAATCAAATCGACACAATCAATAGAGCAGAAAACGTCAATTGTTTGCCTGTAAATTTGTTAGTGCAAAAAAGGAAATTGCTTGAGGTGAGTGATGTGTCTTGTGATCCTTCCTTGCACTAGACAGGAAATTAGTATTTTATTTTTGAGATACAAACTGATCGTATTAGAATCATTTTATTGCTTTTATTACAATAGATATAGAATAAAGAATAAATGAGTTTGGATTTAGTTTGCTAAATGTTTTTATTTTTGTTCTACATATATATTACTGCTGATAGGAAATTTATGCACCATGTTTATTTATATTACGAAGAAAAATGTTGTGAGAGAAACAAATAGAAAATTTATGAAAATTTGCAAAAGTGATCTTCAAACCTATATTTCTTTATATGCGACTGGTTTTAATTTCTGTAGACAATGAAAAGAGTACTGGATCAGGAAACTAGGCAATGCATTTTAGTATGGTTGCAACGACCACATAAACATATATATATATATATATATATATATATATATATATATATATATATATATATATATATATATATATATATATATATATATGGACTGATTTATATAAACAGTGTTCACTAAATAAAAAATAAGTCGGGGCATAGGTTGGAAGTAAACAATAGGGCCATCAACATCTTTATAAACATTTAAATTCACCTGACCACTTTATACTTTTAATGAGGGTTAGAATTTGGGAAAAAAAATATTTCCAACTAAAAGTCCTACTTTGTATACTCCATTCCGTAGACAATGAGAAGAATACTGGATCAGAAAACTAGGCGCTGCCTTTCCGTATGGTTGCAACGACCAAATAAATAAAGTAGGGAATCTTTCAAGCCCAAAATGTTCAAAACGTATTTGTAATGGTGCTTTTTAACAATACACCTAGATGTAAGCGTAGTCATGAATATTGATTATACAATAAACTAATTATACTTGATGTCTCTTTCGATCACATTTACCTTACGTCAATAAACAATTAGGTCTTCATCACATTCTCACTAAACTGTATTCAGTTCCCTTACAATTTTAAATGGACTATTTGAAGAAGCTAGAGCAAGTCCATACATGATTCTTCAACTGAAGAATACAAGCTAGTGTTTGGGATTATGGATGTTGCCCAGCATAGGCTCTTTAAGCTGTTCCTTCCAAACTTTTCAATTACAAATAAATCCTACAGTGCCTAGATATTGAAGATCTAAAACAAAATCCTCTTAAATGCTTTTTCTCTTCTTCTTTTATCAGCTACAGTCCCGTTGGACACGTCATTATTTGTGATGTTAGTAGAGTTAGTAGAGTTGAAAATGAAGACCTAAAATCAATCTTCTTAAATGTTTTAAATACACGGAGTCCCAATTTTTCAATTGGCGACAGAACTTCAATTTTATTATGAATTCTGCGAAGATAATACCAAACTTAGTTAAAATGGATTTAATGTTTCCAGTCACCTAAAATGATTTCGATCTACCCTCCTTATACTGGATTTGCTGTTAAGGAGAAACTTCAAATATACTGTTCTATACCATACTCCAGAAGTGGTGTAACCCCCCCCCCCCCTACGTCCCTGCTTAATTATAAGATCACAACTAAGCCTCAACGCAGAATTTGTCGAGGAATATTGGGATTATTATACTGTCTTTATGTCATTATTTTAATCCGCAATAAAAATCTGCACTATGACAAATGAAGACATAATGTAGGTTTGTTTATATTGTAGAATAATAGCATGACATACAGACAAAACGTTTAATGCACAGAATTTTGAAAAAGTATATTCCCTTTATCTTTCGAAGCAAATGACAAAACCCCGTTCTACAAAACGGAAAACTCTACAGTATGACCACGAATCTCTTGTGAAAGCCGTAGATGCATTTAAAAAAAGGTGTGCTTTCTATAGGTGCGGCTGAAAAACTTTACAAAGTTCCAAAGTCTACAATTTCGGGAAAATAATTTCAACACACACCTATCAAAGTAATATAATATCAGAAAAGGGTGACTGAAATGTAGTGGGCCGTGTGAATGAAAACAGAACAAATATAACGATAATGGTATGTGTCAATGGTGCAGGAGGAAAATGGTTTCAATGGTCGTTGTAGAGGGCAAAACGACCGCCACTTTATGAATGTTAAAGATGTCCTACCCGGCACAGTACAGTGTTCCCCCGTTTTACTGCCAACTTTTGTACCTTACAATTATGGCGTTATATCAGGGATGCATTAAAACGGGGGAATGCAATTAGGACACTTTAAAGCAGAAGAAATTTACACGCATTGTTATAAAATCTTGGTTATTTTTTTGGTACGTTTAATTTTAAAATAATTATTCATTGTTGATTGTTTTTATGGTTTTACCGCTATTTTATTGTTTAATAGTAAAAAAAAGTCTGTGATTCTGATGCAAAATCCTTAGATTCCAAATATCGCATCGCAATCGAATAACAATTTCAAGTCACGTCAGGTGTCCTAATAAAACACATTTTGACTTTGGATCTCCCTTATATTTAACACTTGTTAAAATGCCTCGAAATAAAGCTATGCACGCAATTTGTCAATTCAAGTATGCAATTTTTCACACCCAGGAAACGTAGAAGCTTAAAATACTGCTTGTAAAAACAATGTGGCTTGATTATCTCGTGAATTTTACCTACCGACAGGGATTAGATACGCTCCACCCATAGGCGCTTGGGTCAAGGATAATGTATATTTTCTACATAACGTATTGTCGAGGAAATTCGAACTATATTCGTAGCATTGCTTTAAGCGCATAGTGGTTATTTTTAGGTTTTTGTCAAGCGCCTATGCTAAGGTCTGTCGACATGTTCCTCATATATCTGATTTATTTCTCCTTGTAAAATATAAGAAATATTCATAATATTAACATTTTATCCCATGTTTACCCCTTTATCCCGTGGATATGACTCATTGGATAAATTTTCCATATTCCACAGTTAAGTGCAGTTGTGACGTCACAATGGTTTTTTGCATTAGAGTGATGAAGTAAAATGAAGTGGAGTCCTGTATAAAACAGTGTAAAACATTCGTTGTGAAGTATTAAACATGGGATAAAAAGAATCTCCCATGATTTGAAGTTGGATATGACTTTTATCCAACTCGTTGTGTGTTTTTATCCCCTCGCTAAGGCTCGGGGATAAAAAAAAAACACACAACTCGTTGGATAAAAATCATATCCAACTACAAATCATGGGAGATCCTATATATATTGTGAATTCTAAACTGTTTTCAAAATGTCTAAGAAAATAACTACAAATTGTGATATTGACAATTCAAGTGATTTCAAATAGGATTATATAGGAAACACCACCCTCTGGTATCTTGCACAAATGCCTGGTAAGGTACTTCAATTTTTTGTGAGGAAACTTGTTAAAGTAACAGTGCTTCAGTGAAAAATTCTTGCGAAAAATTATATATTATTGAGGAACGCGTCGTCTGACCTTAATAGTGTTGTTTACCACTCATGTCGATTTAATACATAAAACGTTATTTGAACGCTTATTTCTGCATCCATTATACTTACCATTTACCATCTTGACTACTACAGACTAAACTGGGTGGTAGAGTCAGATAAAAAAAAATTTAAAAACACGATGTAATGATCATTTAATGATTAATATAATTGAGGGGAGGAAATCTACTATATTTTGACATGAATTTTAGACATTAATTTTATCTATAATTCGGACCTACCGATGCGATTTTTGAAAAAAAGGGTTCTTATTGGCGATAATTAACGGGGGTGATACTAATGGAAATAGGCAGATTTGTACCCAAAATACAATGGCGGATGGAGGTAGGAGGGGGAATGGCATTAAACGGGGTTTTATATAGCGAGGAAATGGGGGCTTTGGATTTTTTGTCGGTAAGCGGGAAGACATTATAAACCGGGGAAGCAGTGTATATGCATATCAAGGAAAAGGGTGCGTGTCGGAGGAGCTAGGGGAAAAGTGGTTCCGCAACGTATTTTTTAAAACCGTCACGGTAGCTCAGTCGGTAGAGCGGTCGCTCCGTGATCGGAAGGTCGTGTGTTCAAATTACGGCTGCGACTAACTGAAGTGGATTTAAAAAAGGTTGCAATTGTTCCTTCGCCGAGTGCTCTTTACTTTTGAGTGAAAGTTGCAGGTCTTTCGGATGAGACCTTAAAATTGAGGCCCGTGTCACGGTAGGCGTTGGGCACAATAAAGAACCCTCACTGCTCAATGGCCCTGAGTGCCGAGTAAAGGTCTAAATTTGAAGCCCTTCACCGGTATATGGTGACGTCTCTATATGGGTGAAAAATTCTCGAACGGGACGTAAATCAATCAATCAATCAATATTTCTTAAACATTGTGGATAGGAGCGTCCCCAACTCATTCTAAATGGCCACTTGTTTCAAAAGACGCTTGGTCTTTTAGAGCTGGCCATGAAAGAATACATTCATATTATCTGTTTGCCCCTGTATCTGTTACAGCCACTGGTCAGGTCAGTTTTCGGACCGTATAATGCGGTGTATAACACAACATGCTTTGAGTTTCTCTCAGAGTCACCTTACCACATAGTATAAAAGAGCAATTTCCTGAAGCTATTCAATGAAGCCTTTGAGACAAGAATACTAAGGAAAACATAGTAAATCGATTCAAGGTATATGGGATTGTGCCTTTCAATCTAGGCGTCATTTCATCCCTTAGTTGCCACTGAAGTTCATCCGACCAACACACTTCTCCAGATAATCCCACTTCTGCTGTGTAATCACCACCAGCTTCTCAGCGCACGTGTACCTCGACTCTGGCTATTTCTGACACTATTATCATTGAAAGCAAGATTAAAGCAGTGAAACAAGCAGTTCCCATCCCCAGGAACATTATGTAG